TAATTTCTTTACATGCGTATCTCAAAATGGATACATTTTTAAAAAATTAAATTATTTTAAATTAACCAATTTTAAAAATATGGCATGTTCTTTATAGTCATGAATTATAAAATAACACACATCTATAAATTGTACTAGATTTTATTTTTTATTTTAATAAATAAAATATTTTTAAATCAATTTTTACATATTTTGATGTTAATTTCTTTACATGCGTATCTCAAAATGGATACATTTTTAAAAAATTAAATTATTTTAAATTAACCAATTTTAAAAATATGGCATGTTCTTTCCATGTTTTAAAAATAATTTTTTTTAATTTACAAAATTTAGTTTAATGATTTATTTATATAATTGAGTACTATGATATGGGATATGCATTAAAATATTATCCTATAAAAACATGAAAAAAAAGAGTTGGAATTAGGGAAGATCGGAGAGGATTAGGACACGTGGAGAGGGGTGGGGGAAGAGTGGGTCGCTGACGTGGACGAGCATGCAGGGGATCGGCATCTGGAATGGAATAATGCGGTTGGCATTCTTCAGGTGCATGCCGATGCCGGTGACATGGAGGACACGTGGAGAGTTTTGAGTGGATGACGTGGCAAAGTGACCCTTCGACGTCGCGAAGAGTCGGGACTCAGGCGAGGCGTCACATCAGAGCCGGTGAAGTGGCCGGTGGTTGCCGCTGGAAATAGCTGTTATGGTGACTAAATGATTTTTTTTTTTTGGGGGGTGGGGGGGAGCGGAGAGAAACACTTAATCTAACACATGTCTAATTGTTTCCTCTCTTTAGGATATTAATGGGAATAATTAATAATATTATATGAAAGGGGCTTGATCTATATTTGTCTGCAGTACTAACATTGTGGTAAATTGCTTGGGGTGCTCCTCAACCCTTGAAACATAGTTCAATTACGTCCTCAACCTTTCAATATTGTTCTCATGAATATCAAATGATTTATATTTTGATTGAATCACTTACTTTTTGCACTTTGATGGAATGCATTGAGTACTTTATCATTTGATTAATTTTGTTGAAAAGAAATTAACATTATATAATCCAACTTTTAGCAATGAAACGGACCCCAAAGACTAATTATCTTTTGTTTGGTCATTTCTGTTTGTTCTAATGAAAATGACTAAAATCAAGAGAGGCTGAAACAATCTTAATTAAAGCTAGGATTTGAGACCTACTTACAATGATTAAGAGAAAAGTGACCTAATTGAGCTATCTTAGAAAGTTGGAGACCGCTAATTCCATTTATCCCTTTATTACACAAAACTTGAGATATTACTCTCTTTATTTCTTTTCCTTTTTTTTTTTTTTGAAGTAAAATCTCTTTATTTCATTTGATCTTGTCATTTGACTTTTCTTTCAAGTAAATTTAAGTGATATTTTTATATAGTTT